ATCACATATCAAATTCAAAGATAAATTTGTTTTTTTTTTCTTGGAGCAACTCATCCTCAAACCTTCATTGTAAAGATCTTTCATTCTCAAAATGAGTTTCTTTTTTTTTGTCAACTTCTCAAAATTAGTTTCATTCTTGGATTTGGTTCATATAAATATTCTCTAACTAAATAGGATACTAAAGCATATAGTATGATTTATTCCAAAATGTCGTCCAGTTATCAAGTTTTTAGGTCTTTTAAAAATGTTTTTCCACAAGCCAGGAGCCTTAATTATTTGTTATCATTACTTTCAACAATTAATTCTTACAAACATATGCCATTTGAAATGTCATCGCCATTTTTTCTAAAGGAAATAAAATATCACTTTCACGATCCAAACTTCTGTCAATAAGTGTGCTTGCGATACTATAGCGATAATGCCTGTGCTTTTTCTTCAGAAATTTTATCGTCGGATAAAACTCGATCTATAGCCTATCTTCTATAAATCTAGCATATAATAATCCTCCAAATTTCTTAAGTCTTTATGCCAGAAAATCTGATAGAAAACTGCTTAACTTTTTTTTTTGTGGTAAAATGCTTACTTAACCTTGTCCGTGTAACATACTAACATGTGGAATAAAGCTTTCATTTCATATTCCTGGAAATATTGTTTTACCAGGAGGAGTTTGAACCATGTCTTATCCCCTCTAGGTCTGAAACCAATGATTTCTAATTTGATGACATAGTATAAAGCATCCCTCAAAAATAAAATCGAACTAGGAATATAAGGTAACCAATTTTTTTTGTGCTAAGCCACTGTCCGACGCATATTTGATGATTAAATCTACTCTCTATAAAATACCATTTTTCTATTACTGCTCTATATTATATACTCTTTGGTAAAAATTTCTGCTATTTTAGTCCAAATAGTTTGGTGCTAAAATGACTGTAGGATTTATTTATTGCCAAATTTAACACGATTACTAATACCCCTGCTCAGCTGGCAGCTTTTACCATCGAGATTAAGCCGTTCACAACTTTACTCTATTTGAATCAAACAACAAGAACAAAATTTAATTACTTGGCCGAGGACACTAAATATTCTGACAAAGGAGGCGTTGTTTGTTTTCCTATCTTAAGAAATTTAACAAAATGTTATTATGTCTATATAACCCATGATTTCCGAAAAAGAAAAAATACATGTTTACGAGGTAATTGTCAAAGTAAGAAAATGAAAGAAGCAAGATTTGATCCAAAAAAGGAAGGAAACAAGATTAGAGCAATCTCAATAATAGTTTCTTTTCATAAAATTCTAAAACTATATATTGATGTATGTATATAAGAGTAATTTATACTCGTTTTGAAAAATTCGAAATACAACATATACAAAAAAAATCTAGATCTTTACTATATAATTATTGTAATTGTGTAATTTAATCTAATATTAAAGAAATAAAAAAGATTATTATCAAATCTTTATTGTTTAAAATTATTAATTGTCATATATATATTTTAATCACATTAGGTAATTCTGTAGATTTTATTTAGGGAAAGCATGCGAAACAATAAATATTTGATATATGCGACCAACTATAGCCTTCGAAATATTATATTAATAAAAAATATAATTTTCAGACTATAATTTATATAAGGTGCTCTAGAATAAATTATTTTTTTAACTTAGAAGACATAAAAATCTGCCACCTAGGATACAATTATCTTTTAACTAATATACATGTTCGGAAACGCGCTAGTCGGGTGGCACGGTTGCGCCTAGCGCCTAGAGAGAAAATCGGAGATTAAGCGAGGATTATATGGGGCATAATTTTTAAACTATTTGATATGTTATGAAATATGTTAATCTTTAATTGTGTATAACATTAATACATTTTCATGTTTAGAAGCTTATAAAAATATACAAATAGAATATATAAAATTAATAGGATATAATTTTCATCAAAATTATATTTATAAGTTATATTTAGTAAATTTTAGATCAAATAAATATATAAAATATTAGTAAAAAAAGAAAAAATAAAAAAAATAGATTGTGCGTCCGCCTAGGCATTAATCATTTAGGAAGAGGGTCGTCTAACGCCTAAGAGGCTAGGCGGCCGATTTTTAGAACATGGACTTAATGTTATATCTTTTTAAATGTTTCTCAAATAATATATAGAGAATATTAATTTTTTTTTTGGAAATCTAACCAGTAATAATATCTCATTTAACATATTATTAGTTTGGTTTCCAAGATTTTAATATATTTATATATACTCACTAATATCCCCTATATATTATTTGGAAACCATTTAAAAAATTGTAACCTTAAGTTTGTATTAATTAAAAGTAACCCCAATCCTATGTGGCATATCTCTTTGCTTTCAAAATTATATTTAACACAATTCTAAAGCACCTTACATATACCATAGTTTAAACATATATTTACTAGAAAGATGTTGGTCACATATCTTATTAATATTAAAAATTATTATTCATTATTTCTTTAAATAAAAACTACGAAATTACCTAATGTGATTAAAAGATATATGACAATTAATAATTTCAGTAGTAAAGATTTGCTAACAATTTTTATACCCTCTACCACTTTTGTTTAAATATTTGTTATTAAAATAATTTACACTATTACATTAATTACTAAATTGTTAAATATCTCAAATAAACTTTTTGTGATCAATGGTTTAATTTTTTATTATGATAAGATACAAATAATTATAAAATACATGAGTAAGACGTCTTATTTAATAATTTATATTAATATATATATATATAATTTAATTAAATTACATACCATATAAAATATATACTTATATTTTGATATTTCATTGAAAAATATTGAAAATTTAATATTTTAATTTTAAAATTTGCATTCAATTCTTAATAGTTCAAAATTTTGTTATAAAAATATATTGATAATCATAAAACCTTATAATGAGAAAATTCATTTACTAAACATTCATATTTAAAATATATTATAGATATTGTTAATCTCATTTAAATTTAATTGTATATGATATATGATAGATAAAATTGATTTCCTTGATTTATTTACCATTAATGATTGTTAATAAATAAGAATAATCCTTTGATTTAAATGCACACACCAAATCCCCTATATATTAATTAGAGATCATTTTAAAAGTTATAACCTTAAGTTTGTATTAATTAAAAAAATCATATCTTATGTGACAGTTTTCTATGAAATTCTACTTAGAAGAATCCTGAAACACCTCATATAAAACATAGTTATAAAACAAACTCTTTTGGTCTCATATAAGACATATCAAACTAAATAGCATATCAAACTAAATCTCATATATATTATCTCCTTAAATAAAATCTACGCAATTACCTAATGTGATTTTATATATATATGACTATTAATGATTTTAAATAATATAGATTTGTTAACAATATGTATATTTTATATCATTTTTGTTTAGTTTTTTATTATTAAAATAAGTTACACAACTACACAAATCATATAAGAAAATTTTAGATTTCTTTTATATATGTTGTATTTTGAAATTTTCAAAACGAGTATAAATTATTAAAACTGTTAAAAATCTCACATAAACTTTTGTGATTAAGGTCTAAATTTTTTTTCTATAATAAGTTAAAAAAATTATAAAATCATATAAATAAAGAATTTATTTTAATAGGTGTTATGTTTTAACATATATATATATATATCATATCGTAATAAATAATTTTGTTTTAAACATAATTATAATTTAAAATTTAACTTATTTTTTTATAAAAATTATTTTTATTTAAAAATTAATTTTTAAAAATATTATTTTCTGATATTATTAGACAAATAAATAAATTATATTAAATTTGTTTTAAAAATTTATATATTTTAAATGCGAATATTCTACCAACTGCCTTTTAAGAAAGCATTAGGAAATTTGATAACGTTCTACCAATTAAGCCATATGATACTCTATTTATTTCCATCTCTCGAACAATGAAAAATGAAAAGATATATAAATCGGATCTATTAAATTATAACTTTTGATATACAGTTCTAATTATAATTGTTTCTGATCATACATGTAGATAACAATATAAAAATTCAAAAATTTCAAATACATTTTAAAATAATTATATGTAAATTTTAAATTTGTGAATACTAAAATTTTATATTTTAATTATATACATTCATCATTCGCAAGGCATAGGTGTTATCCGGTATAATTTTAGAATGCTACAGTAAGAATCTACCATTGAAAGTGCTTTCAATGCAAAAGCAGAGTACATAAATGCAACGCAACGCATAAAGTATTTGAGAAAACAATGATAAAAATGTGGCTGCAAAGAACACAGACTCTTCCCTCCTCTTGTCATATCAATGTTCAACTTCAAGTTTCCCACTTGACCCATTGGTCAATCTCTCTTTCTCTCTCTTCACATATGAAGTTACTCTTTTATACGCTGTGTAACACTCAGTCTCTCTCTTATGTTGTACTCATCTGCTCAGTCTCTATCTCTTTAAATGACCTCCTATAATGATCTTGAGTCTTGAAGCTACTCACTCCTGATTCTTGACATGTGCGATTTTGTGTATTGTCTCTCCACCATCTCCCAAAGTAGAAAATCTATAAAATAATACATAGAACAAAAAAAAGAATCCCACTTTTTAGATCTCTTTCCAATTATATAATCCTCTTCTCTTCTATAAGCAGAAACAATCTTTCACTTCTCTTAATATAGCAAAAAAAAAATTAAAAATCACTTTTCTCTCTCTCTTTATTTCAGATTATTCTCTATTTGCCTCACCATTTTTGCCTACATGTGTTTGTTGGAGTGGATATAAATCTATCCCTTTTCTTGTATCAATTTCACTATGACAATCAGCTAAGTCCTTCTTTGTCCCTTTCTCTCTGTTTGGTTTGATTAATAATGATCTAAACAACCCTAACCTCTTTGATCCATATAAGATAATCAAAACCCTAGATCAGATTCTTCTACTTCCCAAACTCATAAACAAGATAAGCTATGGAGTTGATCTCACACCAAAACCCTAATACCTCCACAGTACAATTAACACCACCTTCCTCAAGCCGGTACGAGAACCAAAAACGCCGTGACTGGAACACCTTCTGCCAATACCTCCGTAACCACCGTCCTCCCCTCTCTCTCCCCTCGTGCAGCGGCGCACACGTGCTCGAGTTCCTCCGCTACCTCGACCAGTTCGGGAAAACAAAGATTCACCACCAAAACTGCCCCTTCTTCGGCCTCCCACACCCTCCAGCGCCTTGCCCTTGCCCTCTCAGACAAGCCTGGGGCTCACTTGACGCCCTCATAGGCCGCCTCCGTGCGGCCTACGAGGAGAACGGTGGCCCTCCTGAGGCTAACCCCTTTGGCTCACGCGCCGTCAGGTTGTACCTCCGTGAAGTCAGAGACTTCCAGTCCAAAGCTCGTGGTGTTAGCTATGATAAGAAGAGGAAGAGAGTCAACAGGCAGAAAACGCTAATGCAAACGCAAACGCAGCCGCCTCTACAGTTGCAGCAACAGCAGACACAACATGGTCAGTCTATGATGGCTAATTACTCGGGTGCAACAGTATGATCATATTATTAATATATATATATATATATATATATTAATCTATATAATTTCATAAGTTTAATATGTATTGTTTCTTATTTACCTATCTATGTATTACTTATTATCCTAAGATGCTGTTGTTGCTAATATGATGGCTAATATGTACTTTTTTATGAATAAGAAATTATGATTATATTCGCTAAAGTGTTTGATAAGTTTATTATGATTTTTATTTAAATTCCAACTATTAGCTTGAGGACTATTCGATGTTGATTTCTGATAGTTAGGGTTCATGTGTATTATACTGTTATGTTATATGATGATCTCTGGAGGCACCTTTCTTTATGTATAACTCTGAACTTGATGATAATATTAATCATTTTTTTCCATGCGATGATGAGATGCTCCCGTGATTTCAATGATTTAGATGTGAATCTGTATATGAAAGAATAGATGTATACAGATGCTATATATAAATATGAATGTGTGTATGTATATGATTACTTTATGGTTAGTGACACCAAAATTTGTGAATTATATTAACGACTTTGTGAATGTATGCTTCTTAATCAATTCCAGAGTTGTAGTTCCAGATTTTATGAGCAAAGAAAGCTATTGACATGCTTCCTCATTTGTTTTCGTTATCATGAGTATGAATTCACTGTTTTGACTTTCAAAGCACTTGGCATAGAGACACCTCATGAATCTTTGGTTCTATATTTTGCAATGGGATACTTTCAAAGCACTTAGCATACTTTCAAAGCATTCATGAATAAAAACCTTCCTACCACTATCTCTCTAAAGGTAGACCATTAATAAGAGAATACGATGTGTAAAATTTGGCCTAATTGACTATGTTCAACCGCAGAAAGACTCGTCTAAGCTTAGAGAATCAATAGTCATGAGTCATGACTCATCACCCAATGATATCAATTTACAGATAAAAACCAAAAAGAATAATGATCTTTACTATATATTTTAAGCAATAAAATTTTGAAAATATAACTAAAACATGCACAGTATAGTTTTCGAATTTCTCACATGTTTCTCAAATGGGTTAAAGAAAATTACTATTTTGCAAACAATTTACGTTTGAAAGTTACTGTTTAAAATATGCTTTACTGAAATTGACATTCTCATGTTGTGTATGTACTTCTTTTCAAATATTAAGTTTTAGTATGACTTGAGTAGTTATATTTTTGAAACTGTGTGATGAAAATTTAAGGTTCTGATTAGCAATTAAAAAAAAATTCGACAATGTGGTATACTTTAATTTTCAAGTATTATACACAAGTTAAGAGGTTTCCAGGTAGAAAACATAATACTAAACGTTTGCCAAATGTAGATATATATTAACAAATATTAAATCCTTAATAAACTAATGTGTATATCAAAATCGAGAGAGTTTAAGAGAGAAAAAGTAGATCTAGAGGAGTTCCGGCGGTCGACCGGCGCGTGAGCGTCCGTGCCGTCGCCGGAACCCTCTCCTTTTCTTCGTTTGTGTTCCCCTGTCTTCCCTCTCTACTGTCCTGTCAACGACCGCTTTGTTCAAGCTCTGATTCCGCAACCATTCTCAATGGAAGCACGGTTCTTTGGAGTACGGACGCGATTGTCGGAAGGTCTTTGTTGGAGAGGGAGTTTTTTGTGTGTAGTGGTGAAGTGTTGCCGAGAGGCGGAGGCTAAGAAAGATCCGTCGTCGTCGGCTTCTCTGCGGGAGGTGGGTGCTTACTCAGATCCACCGTCGTCGCTTCAGTCTCCGGGAAGGGAAGCTTCCGTCAGCTTCGCCGTCGCCGGCTTTTGGTCGCGGAGAGGGGAGGCTTTCAAAGCTCCTCGCTGCCGTCTAGGTACCCGGATCCTTTTGGGTTAAGTTTTTTTCTATTTCGATTTAGGTTTGTTTGGTCTAGTTGTCGGTTTTAAGGTTCTGGTGTTGATCGGATGAGAGCTTGTAAGAAGATGAAGTTTTCCGGTGAGGGTGGCGACTGTTTTAAAAAAGAAAGCAGTGGTTCTTGGGTGCGCTAGTCTAGGGTTTGAAGGTCTGCAGAGTCGGAGGAGATCTCGGTGTATTACCGATGGAACTCGCCGGCGGGAAGACAAGGCGTTTGAAGAACGATTTAAGGTTTCGGTTGGAGGCTTGTCGGTTTCCAAGCTCCGACGAAAGTTGCTCCTATGCGGCGAGGCGGATGCGAGAAAGTTGAGGCAGTTGAGACGCGTGCCGTGTGAACGATCAAGATCTCTCCACGTGTCGGTCTCCTTGTCTTGTTCCGTTTAGGTCGTGTAGGTTTGTTTGGTTTGGGCCGATGGCCCATTTATCTGTCTGTGGTCTGGGCTTGTTGCCCGCTGGACTTTGTGTGTTGGTGCTGTATGGGATATTTGTCTGTTCTGGGCCTGGCCCATTTTTTAATTTTAAAACTTTGACGGAAAAAAAAAAAAAAACTAATGTGTATATCAAATTTAACCCTTT